AATATAGCTTGTTAACTTATACCTTTACTTTGATGCTAAGTGAAAGTAAGGTCTTTTTCACCAAATCTGTCAAATTAATGTGTGAATATGTTTTGATAACATTAAATATGAATAAACTTTTTGTCATTAGCTTGCTTCAGTCGTATTGTTTTTCTACAGGTTCTCCTTTTTGACTCCACACTAAACTTAACAAGCTTAATTTGAATTTGATCTTTGAGTTATCAGTAGCCTTACTAAGGGGAATACATACAGGTTTTTTGCAATTTGAAAATAGTTGCATTGAAAGAGATTTCTAAATAAAGAAGAAGAGGGGAGAACATTTTCAATTGACATTATATTTAGGGGGTACAAATTGGACATGTTCCAGAAAAACATGATAAGTCCCTAATTTTTATATACAAGTTCTAATGAAAAATTGGAAGAGGCAAAAGGCCCTCTAGCTCATTTCCTTTATCTCATACTGGCTCATATGCCCATGAAACATCCTTCTTATTACTAATTTATTTTATTTTTAGATTTAAAGACTTGTAGTTTTTGCATAGCTAGAAATTGGTGGTTAACAAAATCCATTTTATTCATAAAACTTTTATATTACGATTATTATTTTCAAAAATAAATGCGGACAAATAAAGTGTATTAAGTGTAATATGCTAAATTATATTTCACGGGCTTTTAAAAACCACTCTAATAAAAATACAAGACTAAAAAATATTTATAAATAATGAATAAATGAATGATCAAAACCTTCACTACCCCTCCCGTCCCCTACGAAATCTACTCGCGTTTTTTGCGTCACAGCTTCCCAGTCTCGCTCTGCTCAAAATCAAATATTCATTAGTTACTAAAGAAGAACAAAATGGCGATGGAAGCAGCTCCAAGTTCGCCTCAACTGAGCACCTATGCTCCTCAAACTAACGTTGCTGTAACCCATGCAGTACCTTCAACTCATAATGCCGTTAACATCATCCCACCTGAACAATCTAAAAGTCTGTTTATAGTCGATCCGTCACAACAGCACGCTCTACAAATGTACGCAAATGATCGGGCCTTCATGACTGCTGCCAACTCGGTCGAATACAACGGCGGAGCTATAACAGTCCCTGTAACGAATAGCAATAACCAAATCATGGTGAGTCCAAGAGTTTTTGTCTGTGTAGATAATCCCCTATCTTTTTCTGTCATAATGTTGCGTTGGGTATGCTTACTAGCCTTGTAAAAGACGAAAGAAGAAGATGTAGTTGAAGGTTCGAATTGGCACAGTTCTTTTTTTAGCGTCGCTTCCCAAAGCCCAAACGCTCAGGCTTCAGAAATTCGTTTCTCCGTCTTTCGGAGCTCGTAGTACTCGCAGAAGTGTTCAAAAAGTTGTTTTGATTAATCGAAAACGAGCAATTGGCCGGAAATTCTATCTGTCAGACGGGTTTGTAAGATTTAAAAAATCGTCCAATGAAGCAAAGCTTGCAAGTCTTGTTCGCTATTGGTCGTGAGGAAGCTGTGTATCGATGGGTTATTTGTTTCTCCAATCAATGGCCAATACATCTTTTAACAGGTACAGCACAACAAACCCAAACCCTCTGTACCAATCAACCGTTCTCTTTGAACTTTTGGAGGGAATATTTCAAGTTTTTCGAGGCCTGAACGAAGATTTTCAGCCCGAGACGACGGCTTTCTTTATTTAGTTGTCTTTCTTTGTGTGACGAAGCGACGCTACCAAACACCAGCTGTTCTTTCACTAAAATCCCTCAAAATATTCCTTCCTTAGGGCGTATTTTCTTTATAAATAAACTAAAAGCCGACAGTTTTTCGCACTTTGAAAGAAATTGGGTCAATTTTGAACCATTTTTTGTACAAAATGTTTCATAATTTTTCTTTTGAAATCGACGAAAAATACTAAAATGGCGAATCGAAGGCAAGCAAGTCGGATCAAACATTTCCTCAATGTCCACGAAAAAGAATTAATTCAATAATTCTTTTCTTGATCTCATTTATTATACCTTGAAACCACAAGATAACGCTTGGTAGATGCCTAACTTTTGATTATGAGGGGTACAGAATGAAAAAATAATTTTCCTAAAAAATGAAGAAAAAAAAGCTTAAAAATTTATAAGCTTATTTTTTAGGGAAATTATAAACTACATTTTTTGTGGACCATGAGGTAAAATGCAAAATGTTCAAACTGTCAGAAAAAAATGAAAAATGAAACACTCAGGGTTATACATTTATTTTTTAGCATAAATCATTCATCATATAATCCACAGCATGTACACATTTTTGATGGGTTTTCTTTCACACATTTTTTCTTTATTTTTTGATAATATGTCTGTCAGTGCTAGACACAAATGCTAGTGAAATTCACTAGTCTGGGACTAGTAAATCTTTGCTCTGGGCTAATGAAAATTAGGACTCGCTAGTTCAAAGGATCTAGGCTAGTACATGTAGATTACTCTTCTTGGCTTAGTAGAATGAATAACTGTTGAACAGCTGACGTCGCATAAATTATATATGCTATTTACTATTTTAGTTGACGTCACATAAATTGAAAATTCTTGTGCCCAGTGGTCTGAGAATCAGTGGAGAAAACTAAGATGTAATTGAGTGTCTCTTCATGCATTCTCTGGTAAAGTAAACCCCCCAGATTGGCATGACCATTAGTTTGGTTTGTACTTACTATTTTAGGTGACGTTAACTAAATAGTTATCTAAGTTGGATACATTTATCTAGTAACTATTTAACAGTTTGACTAAATGAACTCATTTCTAAGTTCATTTTTATGACAGACAAACAGCATTTTTATTGTGACRAATTGCTAGTATTTGAACAAAGGATATCATTTTTTCACAACATTTTTTATTCATTGTCTTTCTCGGTAGTTTGAGCTTTATTTGTAACAATCTGAATTTGACACAATTGCATTTACCCAACAGCATTTATCCCTACTCCAAAAAAATTCTAAATGGCAAATTCTATGCCCTCTCCCCATTTGATTAAAGTTTATTATGCTGATAAATAAAAATGAATAATAATTATGATAATAATAATAATATTTAAGGTTTCTTTGTATGTAGTTGTCATTAAATATTCAGTTGTTGTTTCGCTAATAATAATAATAATTTGTGATTATTTTTGTCAAAGATGAGTGGGCAGCCAATCAGTGCCCAAAGACTTCCAGTTGCCATGGAAACACTGGACGAGCCACTTTACGTGAATGCAAAGCAGTACCATCGGATAATCAAACGACGGCAGGCAAGAGCAAAACTGGAAGCTGAGGGAAAGATCCCTAAAGTTAGAAAGGTACTTAATGACRAAAGTTTAAGGATTGGGATGCTTATAATTTTTTGATAAAAATATAATTTATTCATAAATATTTTATATAAATCCAGAAATATCTGCACGAGTCTCGACATCAACATGCATGCAGACGAAAAAGAAGTAATGGGGGGAGATTTGTAACGAAAACAGGCAAAGCCTTGAGATTAGCAGAACGAAATAACGAGATCGAATCAGATGAGCATGATATAGATAAAATGCCTAGTCATGGACAATTAGCAAGTGAGCAAACAACAGAATAAAGTGTGTAAAAGGTAAATATATTTTTGATTTAATATTTTTGATATACCTCATTTGAATAGAACTGATATCATTTGATACTGATATTTGAAATGAACACTGTAAGTTTCCTTATTTCCTTTTAGTATAAATACACAGGTGATTACTAAAAGTCTTGTGTGCTGATTGGTCGAGAAACTCAGATTATGACACGATAATCGCCTCCAGCGATAATCCAAAATGGTGGCCAGCCGCTTTGTTGCTGTTGCCGGAAAAATTGTGTCTTTTATCTTCTTTTTCCTTTTTTTTGGAAAGAATCACCTGTGTATTTATACTAAAACAATTATTCACCTCAGGCTCAGTGAATATCGGGAATATCAACTTCGTTTTGGTAATTATTCCCCGATATTCATTTTGCCTTGGGCGAATAACTGTTAAATATTCTCTCATTTCATTTTTTTCTTAAATCTTTTTATGTACCTTCCAAATTTTGCTACTGATAACCTGGGAATAAAGAATATTTCTAAACAATTTTCTCTTTTTTTCTCTCCTCAGGTAAACATGATGCTTGTAAACATTATTGAACACTGTAATCCTTTATTTCAGTCTATTTAAGTAATCCCACATGCCTTATGCAAATATTTACCTCGTAATACTGCTTTAAAAAGATGTAGATTATATTATCATTATTATTATTATAATTATATTTACCAATATGTCTTGATAAGAGTTTTTTAAAAAAAGGACAACATACATGTTGTTCAAATCTTATAGAACTTAGTTTTTTTGAATAACTTTGGTCAGGCTAAGTCTTCAACTAAGTTGCAGTAGTTTTTCTGCTTTTCATTATGCTTTTGTAACCCAGTGAGCTCTTGATGCCTATTGTTTTATTTTCTGGGTTCATTTGTTAAAAAGCTGGCTAGTGCAGATTTCATTGCTAGGAAATCAAAGTTGTCAGCATTAATTTGGCTTCGGACAACTCAGTCTTTTCAACAAAGTTTGTTTGGCAGAAACTAAGGCACTTCATAAGAAATCTGTCAGTCAGTACATGTACCTTTCATATTTTTGCGGGAGGCAGTGAAAAACCAAATTTCAGCATACAGTCCACAGACACAGAGTTTGCATGTTTATGACCAACAAAACCAACAAAACCAACAAAACAAATGCAATGCTTAAATATACTAGCTCCTATTTCTGGGGTTAAGGAACTGGGTAAGAATTACTAGCACAATATACTTTACAGGCTTTCTAAAGGCTTTACAGTAATCAGAATGAGATTACCCCTTTTTTCTTCAAATTTTTTTGAGGGATTTAAACAAAACCTTTTCAGTTGATTAATCCCACAATTTCCCAAAAAATAATAACATAAAATGTGCTTTTTACTGTAATGAGACATTTCTTTATTAATTGTTTCAATCTCAAGTAAATTGGATTTCAGTGATTAATTTCCTTATGGCAACATTTTAAACTCCAATAGAGTGTCAGGACTAGTACTTTATTGTTCTAAATAATGTTGTGAAATGTAAATAATTCAAGGCCTTTATATTATATTACTCAATAGTTTTAGTGAAAAGAATCCCCAATGTAGAAATATATGTTTTTAAAAACCTGCTTTGATAACTTGAACACAAGTTTTGTGTATTTTTTTTTTCAAGTATGCTTTTTGAGTAATGCATGCTGCCATTAGTAAGAGAACAAAATGACTTTCTAAATTTTTTTGAGGCTTACAGGGATTGCAAAAGAACTCTCATAATTTCTTGAGAGAATGTGGGATATTTCTTTTAAATTTTTTTATCATTGATCTCATTTTATGATGGTATGAAAGTGTTGTATACTCTGTATGAATGGTGTGTGCTCAAAATAGGTGGGTGTACGATGACGTCATTTGGTTTTATCAAGAACAATGATGAAATTCTTGGAAATTTGAGCAATAGACAAACAAACGTCAAAAGTGGCAAGATCCTATCGCTTTGGAAGATCTCTGAGAATTTGACTACAAATCTCTTGATAATTTTCAAGTTAACATTGTAAAATTTGACAGTAATAATGTATGTTGGTTGCCAAGTTGTTGCCAACCAACCTACATTTACTGCAAAATTTAGCAACTTTAATTTATTATATCTCCTGAACTAATGAAGCAACTGCTCTCAAATTGATAAATATTATCAACGTTATGACCTCTTTATATTTCTTAAGTTCAATTGTTTATGGCTCAAAAGTTGATTTTTGGAAATGTAAACAATACGCCCACCTATAGATTTCAGTTTCTCTTAGGACAAAATAAATGGCTCTGTACTAATGCATATTTAAATAGGTTACTTTTCCGTTTAAGCGGGTTGTAACTTAGAACTCTGAAGTAAATCATTTTGCAACTGGGATTTATAGTACCCAAAACAGCTTGGAAGTAAAAAAAGAATAAAAGAGGAAATGTTTCTTTAGTAGTGATTAGTAATGTGTACCAATAATGTTAGGGTGTGGCTTGCTTATTTTCTGGGTGGTGTATTGGTAGTGCACTCCTCTCTCACCTTTGAGGTCTTGTGAGGGAGACTAGAATTGTGGGAAAGAAACTTATAATGAGGAAATCAAGGGTGGTGTAGTGGTAGTGCACTCCTCTCTCACCTTTGAGGTCTTGTGAGGGAGACTAGAA